TATTTATTTATCTTGTTAGTTTGTTTATTAAAAAGAGAAATCATAAACTAAAATTACCTTAAACTTTGACAATGATGATTTCTCTAAATTCTTGACTTGAAGTTGGAGACTTGAAGCTTCTTCTTTGTGTGGAAAATAGAAAACAAATTTGAAGAGAGAAGAAAAATATTGTTGGAACTTGGAACTTGAAAAGTGTGTGGGAAGGAAACTTTTGAAGTCTTTTGACTTTTAAACTTTCAGAATTTAGCTTCTTTTTTAAAAAAAAAATGAAAAATGTGTTTTTAGTTAATAAAAATAAATTGAAGCGAATTGGGGCTGCCTAGGATCGAACCTGCGACCTGTGAGTTGAAATCTTGCAGTAGTACCAGTGAACCATCCAGCCATTTTGAGAACGGATTCAACAAGTTTTAATTTAATATATTCTTTAATAATTATAGAAGTAATATATCGAGTTTAGTCGGATGATCACGGGTTCGGGTGACCCAAAATTAGTACATAAATTCGCCCCTGCTTAGAGGAGCTTGCACACATCATAAAGTGTAAAAATGAATTGGAGCTGATAGTGATTCCAGTTTTCTATGATGTGACTCCATCAGATGTGCGCCATCAAAATCCCCCTTTTGCTGATTCATTTTTACAATACAAAGATGATATGGACAAAGTTCAGAGATGGAGGGCTCCATCAGGCTATCATCTACTTAATTTCAAGTAAGTCTTCTTTTTTATTTTTTAAGAGGAAAAAGAACTAAATGTTAGTTTGATCTGACATGGAGTTTATGAAACTTGTGGTCTAAAATAAGTAATAGGTATATATATTTGTGTGACTATAAATCATTTCTTTGAGGATAAAATGAGCATTTTAAAGTTAGATTGTTACTTAGTATAGAAATATGTCATTCTTTATGGAATTGATCGACTGAAAAGGAAAATAAGTCATATAAAATGAGACAAGGGGAGTTGTAAGTTGGTGATTAGAACGTCAAATTAAGTCTACAACTAATTATATTTCACCAAATTTATCTAGCTTTGTTGAATTAAAGTTGTAGTTAATATTGAGTGATATTTTAAATATTACTCCATCCGTCTCATTTTATATGAGTTAGCTTGATTTGACACAAAATTTAAGGAAGAAAAGAAGATTTTTGAAACTTGTGGTCTAAAATAAGTTAAGATATTTGTGTGAACATTTTGAAGTTAAATTGTTACTTAATATAGAAGTGTGTCCTTTTTTTTAGACTAGCTAAAAAGAAAGTAAGTAAGATAAAATGAGACAGAGGGTACAATTTATCCAACACTTATTTTGCTTCTTTTATGGAAAAAAAAAATTAGTTTATGAAGGGTATAAAAGTTGTTAAACAATTAGCATTTTGACATGCTTACTTTTTTATTTTTATAATATAGATAATTGACCTAGAAAATAAGACAGACAATCTAGTCTATATAAGGTAAATACCTTCGTGTCATCTTGGTTAGATATTAGAGTAATTTGTCTTGAGTTTGAGTTTTCGGGCATGAAGCAGAATTCAACAAGAAACTTGTGGAACAGGTGTTAGAGTTAGTAAACCCCACATGCATACACCTTCCAGGACTGGTAATTGGGCCTAATTCTCATGTAATTGGGCCTAATTCTCATGCTGAAGGAGTGATTTCTCTATGCAAGTTCTACTCATCAACTGGTGTCTGCATGTTTGGGATCTATGGGATGGGTGGCATTGGTAAAACAGCTGTTGCCAAAGCCGTCTACAATCAAATCTACAGGGCGTATGAAGGTTTCTCCTTTGTGGCTCATGTAAGAGAGCGCTCGGAAAATAACATGCTTCACAACCTACAGGAACAACTTCTATCTAAGGTTCTAAAAAGAGAGAACTTTAAAGTCCAATATAATGTTGATAAGGGAAAATGCCTAATCCAAGACAGACTTGCTCAGAGGAAGGTCCTCATTGTTCTGGATGATGTCGATGACATGAGCCAGATAAAAGCATTGGCGGAAGAGAGAAGTTGGTTTGGTTCGTGGAGCATAAAAATTATAACAACAAGAAATGAGAATTTGCTAGATGATGTTGGAGTAGACTATAAGTACGAGGTAACACGGTTGGATGATTTCTCTTCCAAGCGACTCTTTTGCTTTCATGCTTTCAAGTCTACTGTACCCGAGAATTTGGATCATGAGTTGGTGAATGACATAGCAAGTCTAGGTGGAGGGGTTCCTTTAGCACTCGAAGTTTTGGGCTCTCTTTTGCATAAAAAGGACGATCAAACATGGAGAAGTACCCTCGAGAGCTTGAAAAATCTTGCTCATCACAGTAGTATTCACAAAGCACTCAAAGTAAGCTATGACTCACTTGATGATAACTCTAAGGAGATTTTCCTTGACATTGCATGCTTTTTCATTGAAGCCCAATAACTTTTTGCTAGTCGTATTGACCGGTTGTGGTCGCTCTTTCAACTTGGGGAAAGGAATTTTGATTGGAAGATGTTTAATCAAAATTGAACAGAATCATTTGTGGATGCATGATTTAGTTCGAGATATGGCTAGAGAAATTGTTCATCAAGAGTCACTTAAAGAGCCTCATATGCGCTCTAGGTTGTGGTTTCATGAAGATGTCCATTATGTTCTAGAAAAGAACAAGGTAAAAAAAATGACTTGAGACTTATGGACTTAAACATTTCATAACATTTATGTGACTATGAAATTATTCCAATAAGGGTAAAACGAGAAGTTTAAAGTTAAATCGTTTCCAAACACCGAAAGAGTGTAATTACATGATGTTTTGAGTTCTTTGAAAAGCAAAATAAGCAATTATAACCGAATAAATAGAAGACTAACAATATATCCTGCACTGTTATGATGACAGGGTAGCGAACGGATAGAAGGCATCAGCGCCAACCATCCCAGAGTGAAAGATTTAACTGTTGACACAAAGTCCTTTGCAAGAATGGATAGGTTGAAAATATTTCAAGCAAAAGGAATGAATTTTACTGGAAGCTTCAAAAATTTGTTTGAGGACTTAAGATGGCTAAGTTGGCAAAATTTCCCTTGGAAATGTTTACCTACTGATATTCATCTAACCAAACTTGTGGCTCTGGAAATGCAATATAGCAACATCATGGAAGTTTGGCAATCCACCATCAAGGTTTATTGCTAAAAAAACCTTATTCTAATTTTTTCAAGGTTTAGATATAATAAGATTTTAGATTAAGCGAACTATAGATACTAATGAATATATTATTATTTCTATGAATCAGCCCCTGGAAAACCTGGCATATCTAAATCTCAGTCATTGTCAACGACTAAAGCGAACTCCTGATTTTTCAAGGGCAATAAGTCTTGAGACAATATTGTTTACAGGTTGCTCCGAGTTGGGTGAGATTGATTCATCAATAAAATATTTGGTGAAACTTGTTTACTTAAATCTGGAAGACTGTGTAAGCCTCAAGAATCTACCAAGCAACATTTGCAAGCTAGAATCACTTCAACATCTAAATATGTCAGGTTGCTCGGGTCTACAACAACTGCCTGCTGATTTGGGACACTTGAAAAACCTAAGAAGCTTATCATTACAAGGATGCAACAGAAGTTTAAAGGCTCAATCTTGGCTGACTTCTATTTTATCTTATGTACCATGGGCAGGAAGTAGTTCATCGTGTCCAGAGAGGTTGTTGCCACATTCCCTTTCCCGTTTAAGTCACTTGACGGAGCTCAATCTCAACGATTGTAGGCTTTCAGAAGCAGATGTTCTCACCAATCTTGGGAGTTTAACCTCATTGGAATACTTGGATTTAGGAGGAAATGATTTTTACACTCTCCCATCATCCCTCTTTTGCGACCTATCTGAGCTACAGTGTCTTGTCCTGGATAATTGCAAGAATCTTCAAATTCTCCCACTACTTCCTTCTAATCTGCAAGTGCTCCATGCAAATGATTGTTCATCCATTGAAAGTCTAGACATGTCCAATTACAGGATACTGCCACAGCTCTATGTATCTAATTGTGACATATTGTCCGAGATTAAGGGCATGGAAACTATCGAAAATGTTGAATATGTTCGCATAGAGAGCAGTAGCCAGCTGGCAAGACGTTTCTTTAATGAAAGTTTCTTCCAGCTGGTTAGTTAGTTCCTCTATTCATCTCATCTTTGTACTATTACAATTAAGTGCAACTCACACCATTTATTTTTATTTTATGCAGACGGGAGAATGTGATAAAGATCTTCCTTATCCAAGCAGCTACTATATTGCAGGTAGCGAGGTTCCAGAATGGTTCAGCAACCGAAACATAGGATCTAATATAACCTTAACAATGCCACCAAACATAGAACATAACTTCCAGGGAATGATCCTTTGGTCTATCTACCAGTGCAAATACAATGGAGTTTTTCAATATGGTCCTGTCATAGAGGTCGGTGATCAGACCAATAAGGTTACATGGGTCCTTTACTTCCCCAGTATTACTGTAACCGCTGACAAACGTTCTTGGGTGACCTTCATACCACGAGATTACTTTTGTCCTGCTTTAGAAGGTGGAGAACAAATCATATTTTCGTTCAGTATCAGAGAGCAAGGATTCACAGGGTTAAAAGTGGCAAAGTGTGGCGTCCATCCACTCTATGCAACAGCAGGAAGAACATTGCCAAAACTCGAGTTTCGAGATCCTCGGAGTAATTTTGAGGAAAGGAGGTTGATACCCTTGTGGAGACAATCATCCATTGCTGAAGTAGGACATGTTATGTCATATAATCTTAATAATGGCACTGATGATCAGCACATTCAGAAAGTCATATTCAGCGGCCTTCGTCTTTCAGAAGCTGGTGATGGGACATCTTTATTTCACAACATCATCGGCACACCTTTCCATGTAAATCACGCCAGATTTTGCAGGAAGCATATGACCATAGTCGACGGAATACAGACGATTGGCGAGATCTATTTTGCGACGTGGTAGTCGACCAACAAAACAGGTTAAGCTTGGGTGAAGAAAGTTGGAACTGTTGGGTCTGATGACAATTCTGGAAAGAAAATACACACCTTGAAAATGAATAGTCTTGAACTTTTGATGCAGCTTGCCCCGTGGGAAAACCTTCAAGGTCAAAGTTCAAAATCTCTTAAAACTTGAAGTTCTTCCCATAACGCAAGTGAGGTCAAAAGTCCAAGAACGTGGTTCTTGTAGTTTACCTTGGTTAAAGTGAGACAAAGGGCCCAATGTATTAGGACTTTGACCTAATGTTAAATATTATAGACAACTGAGGATCTACTGGAAACAATCTCTATACCTTTGCAAGGTAGGGGTAAAGTCTGTGTACATACTACCCTCTTCGAACCCCACTTGTGGGAGTACAGTGGATCTATTATTATTGTTGTATATGAATAAATACATGTAAGCTTCAATTAATTAAAATGTGATTTTGGTTTCTTTATGTAGATAATATGTTATATTTAGACTACTTACAGAATTATATCTTGCCCTTAATATGGAGTAACAGTATAAAACTAACATATCACAAGGGTAATTAAAACATCTCATATAAAAACTTTACCAGCAAATCAGAATCAGTAGTTGGCAAAGAGCAAAAGGCAACAATGAAGATGTCCTTGAAAGTGACAATAATGTTTGCAACACCAAACGCTATTTCACCTCTCTCGTGATTCGTCAAATGGTAACATCTTCCTTGATCTTTCTCCTATCTGAGTATGAACCAAATAATAGATAAGATGAGACATTAACAATATACTTCACGAAACGAAAAACAGTAAAAAGGAAAGTATCTTACTGTACCCTACTACGCAAATGGTCAAAAATTTCTAACAGTAGAAGTTAAGTCTCTTACTGTTCTCTACTTCAACAACTACAAGTATGCCTCCTTAGTGTTTTCTACTACTCATCAAGCTGCACACAAACTAGCTCAAACACCATGGTTATCGGAAGCAAAAAAAAAAATGGTCCTTTCATATACATCATAGAACCAAGTTCATAAAGGAAATAAACAAAAAAATTGTGATTTTCACTGAGTATGAAAAAAATGAGACTTGATCCAAAATGCTACAATTTCAACGATAAGTCCGATAAGTTGTTTCTGAAGGTGCACGGCTCATGAATCATTTTCTAGAATAGTCTTGAAAGAAAATAATAGTAATGCGACTAGTTATTGATACGAAATTATCAATGGCCTTACTCTTTAATGTCAAATACAATTTTGACTTTTCTTAGTAATAATTAAATATCATGATTATTAGTTTTAAAACTCAATTAGCATGTAGTAAGATCAGCTTCATCACGTTTAAATGCTCTTTTTCTTAGTATTATTATAAAACTTTCATATTTCCGGCCGTTCCCATGTACCAACAATAAAATAAAATAAACTCTTTGTAACTTTGTTTAGTGCAAAAACTTGACGTGTTTAAAAATAATAGTATTTTCTTGCTTAATTAAGAAGCATAATTATACGACATTTTCACTATTTTAGTTCCTCTTCTAAATGTTAGTACGTAGGAAGGCGTCCCCCTCCTAATAGGACAGGAACGGATATAGAAGCTCGGGTATGAATTCACCTGAATCTAATATCTTTGCTCAAATCATACATATCTATATATATCTTGAAGTTGTAGTAGGAACGATAATTTTTAAATCTTGAATTCGCCTTTGGACCTTCGGAACTCGAGAGTCCTACATTGAAATGTTCCCTAATAAAGAAGACTTCACACCTGGTTCAAAGTTTCAAACTTGACCTCTAATTAATAATCAATGAATACTTATCATTTTATTATAATCATAATTGGTGATACCCTCCACTTTATAGTGTACCGAAGGGTCCTCTACTATACATCATAAATTCGGGTGTTACATTCTCTTTAACTCAACTTATTTGTAAGGAAAAATGTTCAAATATGCCGTCGAACTTTGAAAAATATATTCCTTTTATGTAATTTCGTTAAAACTCATTTTTAAAATATATTTATTTCTTTTGGTTATTACTTCTATCATATTGAGAAAAGATAATTAATTTTTCATTTTCTACTCAACATTAATTGAGCTGAGAAAGAAAGGCATAAAACGCATTCAACGAATGCGATTTATGTGTAAGTTTAAGTCTCTTCTCATTTTTTATGAAATTATTTTATTACCCTTCCGTTTAGTTTTATTTGTCCAATATTTTTAAAATGTACTTATTTCTTTTATCTATTACTTTTATCATATGGAGAACAGATAATTATTTTTTCTACTCAACATTAATTGAGCTGATAAAGAAAGACATAAAACGCATTCAATGAATTATGTGTAAGTTTCAGTCTCTTCCCATTTATTGTTGAAATTACGTTATTACTCCTTCCGTTTAATTTTATTTGTCCAATATTTTTAAAATATATTTATTTCTTTTGTTTATTACTTTTATCATATCGAGAAAAGATAATTAATTTTTTCATTTTATACTCAACATTAATTGAGCTGAGAAAGAAATGCATAAAACTCATTCAACGAATGCGATTTATGTGTAAGTTTCAGTCACTTCCCATTTATTGTTGAAATTACGTTACTACTCCTTTCATTTAATTTTATTTGTCCAATATTTTTAAAATATAATTATTTCTTTTACCTATTACTTTTATCATATCGAGAAAAGATAATTAATTTTTATTTTACACTCAACAATAATTGAGCTGGAAAAAAAAGCATAAAACGCATTCAACGAATGCGATTTATGTGTAAGTTTCAATCTCTTTCCCATTTTTGATGAAATTACGTTATTACCCTTCCGTTTAATTTTATATGTCCAACATTTTTAAAATATATTTATTTATTTTATCTATTAATTTTATCATACCGAGAAAAGATAATAATTTTTTTATTTTATACTCAACATTGAGCTGAGAAAGAAAGGCATAAAACGCATTCAACGAATGCAATTTATTTGTATGTTTCAATCTCTTCCCATTTATTATTGAAATTACGTTATTACCCCTTCCATTTAATTTTATTTGTCCAATATTTTTATAATATATTTATTTCTTTTATCTATTACTTTTATCGTATCGAGAAAAGATAATTATTTTTTTATTTTATACTCAACATTAATTTAGCTAAGAGAGAAAGCCATAAAACGAATTCAACGAATGCAATTTATGTGTAAGTTTCAGTCTCTTCTCATTTATTGTTGAAATTACATTATTACCCTTCCGTTTAATTTTATTTATCCAATATTTTTAAAATATATTTATTTCTTTTATCTATTACTTTTATCATATCGAGAAAAAATAATTATTTTTTCATCTTATACTCAACATTAATTGAGCTGAGAAAGAAAGGCATAAAACGCATTTAACGAATGCGTTTATGTGTAAGTTTCAATCTCTTTCCCATTTATTGTTGAAATTACGTTATTACCCCTTCCGTTTGATTTTTTTGTCTAGTATTTTTTAAATATATTTATTTCTTTTATCTATTACTTTTATCATATCGAGAAACAGATAATTATATTTTCATTTTATTCTCAATATTAATTGAGCTGAGAAAGAAAGATATAAAACGAATGATATTGGACAAATAAATAAACATAAGGGTAGTAACGTTATTTCAACAATAAATGAGACGAAACTTAAACTTACACATAAATCGTATTTGTTGAATGTGTGTCACGACCCAAAAATAGACGTGATGGCACTCGTCTTATCCCACCAAGACAAGTCAACCTAAAACTCAACCATTACAATAAAATGCGGAAATTTCATAATCAACTCAAAAATACCCCCAAAATCTGGTTGTCACGTGTACAAGCCTCTAAAGTATTACAATTGATTCAAAAGAAAACACAAGTCTCAAATGACCTTGTTTCTAGAATAGAACAAGATCATAAATAGGAGTAAGAATGTCTGTTGAGATGACGAACAACTACCTCACAAATCTCCAAGAAGCCTCGGAAAAGAAGAGAATATATCACAAAGGTTCGGGCTAGTAACCTACAAAAAAAAATGTAGTAGCAAGGGGTGAGAGCCAAATCACACGGTACTCAGCAAGTAAATCTCTAAACACAAGCTAAGGGGATAGAATACGGGTACTCCTTACACCCCAACCAAACCTCCACAACTACAAACTGCATAAAACCAGCTCAACCTAACAATTTACAATTCACAAGCACATATCTCAACAACAACATTCTAACAATCACATATTTTTCCAAACAACAAAGCTCAATATTCATCAATTACAACCTCCACAACTACAACATGTATAAAACCAGCCCAACCTAACAGTTCACAATTCACAAGCACATATCTCAACAACAACATTCTAACAATCACATATTCTCAACAACAAGCTCAATATTCATCAATTACAACCTCCACAACTACAACATGTATAAAACCAGCCCAACCTAACAGTTCACATAACACTTGTCACAACCATGTGTCAGCACAATGCAAATGACATGTTCACACAAATAATGAAGAGATGACCATTTTCATAACATTGCACAATTCACAACAACACAATCATGATACAACATCAACAATGATTCAACAAGCCTTTCAAACTATTCTCAACACATCACACACAAACAATTAATCACATTGTCTTTTATTACCCCTTTTTCATCATTAGAATTAATCAATGTGGACAAGTCAACCCATCACCAAGTCTCGTTACCCCCAAACACATATTACAAGGAAATACACGAATTCCATACACTTAACAAGAGTTTAGAAATCCACTTGCCTGAATCAAATAAGAATTTACTCCGGGACTTGAGCCTTCCCCTTTCGTTGAACTTCCAACTCAAAGCAATCTATTCACATTAATAATCACAATAAGGTTTTGAAACTAAAAACACCCACATTACTTTTTGTCTAGCCTAGACCCAAAAATTCACTCAAATCTATAATCAAATTTTTAATCTTGATGCCAATAACATGTCAACTCTTTCAATTTTCTCCAAATTTCAAGTCTAGGGT